GGAAAATGTATTGGATCTGCTTGCCATCTTGAATTATTTGTAAAAAATAATAAAGGTGGGTTACAAATTTATAAATAAAACTTGTCATGTTATTGTGATGTTCTCCAACCTGGCCCCTTTCAGGTCTGTTGGGGATGACTTCCAGAATTCTTAACTTTGGAATTGGCAGCCAAGGGTGCCCCTTGGAGCTGGCGGGTCAGTTCACATGGAGGTGTCCCAAAGGTGCTTTTTTCAGGAGGCACCTGGATTTCCTTGTTTTTTTCTTTTTGAAGATGTTTTGAAGATGAAGCTTCTTCAGCTCTGACTTGGATGGTGGGGGAATGGAAGGATTTATACTCCTTGCAGACAGCTCCACACCCATTTGCACCACTCGGGTGACCCTGAGGACACAGATAAACCTCCCAAGTGGCCTCAACGACCCTCTAAAAGGATGCAAATGACCAGCTCTGTCTGCAAGGAGTATCAATCCTTCCCTTCTCCACTATCCGGTCAGGATGGTGGGGAATGGAAGGACTACCCTGCCAGAGCTGAAGAAGCTTCTTGGATGAGAAGCGAAATGTCTTCAAAAGATAAAACCAGGATGTCCAGTTGCCTCCTGGAAAAAGCACCTTTGGGACAACCATGACCTGGAGGATGGAGAACCTCTACAGGCTTCACATGGACGTGTTCTGCTTCTGGCTCTTAAAATTTTTCCTCCTCTTCTCCTTCTTCTTCCTCCTTCCCAGCTTGTACTTCAACGAGATCAGCGAAGAAGGCAAAGAAGCCCTGCACGAATTGCGGAAAAACCGGGATGGCCTCCGGGTGCTCATTTACCTGACCATGGGAGCAGATGTGTCTGACTACTGGGCCATCATCCTCAACGTGGTCCAGAAGAACCTGCCCATCTGGGACCGGGAGCGGGTGAAGCAACATCTGGGGCTGCTCCTGGAAGATCTTCAGTGCAGCCGCCGAGAGACGGTCAACCCTTGGAAGAAACTCAAGTTCATGAGAGTGGAAAAGGAGGTCAAGAGGATGTTGGGTCACATGCAGAGGGGCGCCCTTTGACCCTCAGTTCCTGGGAGTGATCTGGAAACAAAGCATGGGATTCCTACCACTCCATTGAAACACCAGTTGGTTCGAATGCCACAGCAAATCTGGTGGGCTGCCATAGGTAACTGGACAAGGTTGTCTTTCAGTTAGCTGATCCCACCTCAGGGCTCTTCTGACATTGTTAGGAGACTAAGTTGGCGGGTGCTGTGGACCAGAGTGTCCATCTTTGGCATCTAGAAGACCGGTGGACCTCCACTTCCAACATTTTCCAGCCAGCCATGTTATGGGGAATTCTGGGAGATGAAGTCCTCCAAGTCTTAAAGTTCCCAAAGTTGGACACACACACACCCCGCCCCGCCGTAGATGTATCTGCCAATCAAAGACTGAATCGGATATCTCTCTCACGTAGCAGGTGGTTTGCCTTAATGTCAACTCTTTATGCTTTCTGGTTGAAATCAGTCTTTGATATCTGTTGCCTTCCAGGCAGGTTGGACTACACTGCCCATCACTTCCAGTTGGCCTGGGTGCAGGCGGATACATCTGGAGGGAGTAAGAGGAGGATTCCTTCAGATTTTTTGTGCTTTTGCAGGATGTGACGAGCCTTTTTTCTAACCAAAAAAAACAACAACCCAGAAGTTGTGGGCAAGGTCTCTTTGGGACATCGCTGGTGCTATGCATCATGTTGCAAACTCAGTGTGCTGATCCCCTCCCCTCCCATCGTTTACTCTGGGGAGGAAAGGATGTAGTTGCAGTTGAATGTTAAAGCAAAATTAAACCGGCATTCCTCGACTTACAACTGCAATTAAGCCCAACGTTTCTGTTGCTAAGCGAGACAGTTGTTAAGCAAGTTTTGCCCCTCCTTGCCACCCTTGTTAAGTGAATCACCGCAGCTGTTTGGTTAGTCACATGGTTGTTCGACGAATCTGGCTTCCCCCGTGGGATGCTGTAAACATCATAAATGTGAGTTGGTTGCCAAAGCGTCTGAAGGTTGATCACGTGATGATGCTGCAACAGTCATAAGTGTGATAAACAGCCGTAAGTCACGGTTTTCAGTGCTGTTGTAAACTTTGAACGGTCACTAAACGAATTACTATAAGGCAAGGACCACCTGCAAATGGGACCTTACCAGTTAGAGCAGAGGTCTCCAAACTTGGCCACTTGAAGACTTGTGGATTTCAACTCCCGGAATTCTCCAGCCAGCCGTGTCTCTTTCTTTTTTCTCTTCTCCTCCTAAAGTGGAGAGATTTCAAAGGAAGGGATGATAAGAGAGTAAGCTAAGCTGGCTGGACAATTGTGGGAGTTGAAGTCCACAAGTCTTCCAGTGGCCAAGTTTGGAGACCTCTGAGTTAGAGGATATTTAGCTGAATGCATGAGAATGTTGGTGTTTTTAAAAATGGCCTTCTTGGATGGGGTTGATGAGAAGAGTTGTGACTGACCCAAGCTTTTCCCATGTCTGCAATGCAAAGGGACTTCTTCTTTAAACAGATTAATAGAATTAGAAGGGACCTTATAGGTCATCTAGTCCAACCCCCTCACCCAAGCAGGAGACACTACACCATTTCTGACAGATGGCAGTCCAGTCTCTTCTTGAAAGCCTCCAGTGATAAAGCTCCCACAACTTCTGTAGGCAACTTCTGCTCCATGGGTTGCTTGTTCTCACTGTCAGAAAGTTTCTCCTTATTTCCAGGTTGAATCTCTCCTTGTTCAGTTTCCATCCATTCTTCCTTGTCTGGCCTTTGGGTGCTTTGGAGAATAGCTTTGACCCCTTCCTCCTCTCTGTGGCAGCTCCTCAAACATTGGAAGATGGCTCTCATGTCTCTGGTCCTTCTCTTTCCTAGACTAGCCAGGCCCAGTTCCTGCAACCATTCATCATATGTTTTAGTCTCCAGTCTCCTCATCATCCTGGTTGCTCTTCTCTGCACTCTTTCTAGAGCCTCAACATCTTTTCTTATGGTGTGGTGACCAAAACTGGATGCAGTACTCTAGGTGTGGCCTTACTAAGGCTCTTTATAGAGTGGTATTAGTACCTCCCTTGATCTTGATTGTATCCCTCTGTTGATGCAACTTAGGATTGCGTTGGCTTTTTTGGCTGCCGCTGCATACGGCTGGCTCATATTTAGCTGGTTGTCCACTAAGGCTCCAAGATCCCTCTCCCGGTCACTGCTATAGAGCCTGGTTTCACCCAGTCTGTATGTGTCCTTGTGGTTTTTCTTCTTGTCTCAATCCCTCAGTGTTTAACGTGGCATCCTTCTCCTCTCATTCCTTCCATCGGTACGACATTCAAAACATACCTCACCTCCGATTCTGTACCACACACTGACTTCTCTCCCATTGGCTGAAGTTATTGGCAGGAAGAATATGCTCCATAGATGAATCTAAAAAGACAAAGGGCCGCGTCATGCATCACTGAGGACTAGCAAATCCTGGGGGATTTGGTGGCCTAGAACCCCGCTATTTTCTTTGGTTTGGGTGGAGGAGTGGGATCCTTTCAGTTTTTTTCTACCCAGTTTTTTTTCTCTCTCTCCATGAGTGATTGGCCGGATTCTTTTGCAAGGATGCAGAGAAATAATACAGTAACATGATGCAAGATATGATACGATCATTTCAGCCAGATTTTTCTAGACTTGGGCTCAAATCCCAGCAGGGCAGGAAAAAAAAGCAGGGATTAAAAAAAAAAGCATTGTCTTGGGAATTGTTTGCTTACGTGCCTCGAGAAAACTAAAAGCACTTTGCTTCCGTACATGCAGCCCAGAGGTGGTATTTAGCCGGTTCTGACCGGTTCTAGAGAACTGGGAGCAGAAATTTTGAGTAGTTCAAAGAGAACCGGCCAATCCCACCAATGATTGGCTCCACCCTCATCTCTTCTCTGCCTCCCATTGAGTCCCAGCTGATTGGCTGGGTCTTCTTTGGTTGCCCTGCACAGGAGAATGGGGCTGGAAAGCAGGTTAGTGGGGTGGGGAGGGAATGAGGATTTTGCAGTAACCTTCTGCCAAGCCACACCCACCAAGCCATGCCCACAGAACCGGTAGTAAAAAAAATTGAATCCCACCAGTGACACAGCCCTTTACAACCCAAATTGGGACTGGAACTTCTGCCCCTAAGCGATGCGGTGGCTTAAGTGAGTTTCACCCAATTGTATGACCTTTTTTTCCCATGGCCGTTAAGCAAGTCACACCGCTGTTCAGTGAATGCAACTTCCCTCCACTATCTGGGAAGGGAGCATCCACATGACCCCGTTGCAAATACTTGCTGGTGACCGAATTTTTGACCACATGACCTCAGGGAAGCAGTGATGGTGGTAAACGCAAGTCAGTTTTTTAGCACCATCGTAACTTTGATCAGTCGCTAAACGAACGGTTGTAAGTTGAGGTTTATCTGTCGATCTAGGACTTAATGCAACTCATTTCTGCAGGCAGAAAAAATAAATAAAAATAAACAGATATGCATTGGATATAAGGGTGTAACTGGAGACCAGCTACCTCAGGTTGAGAATTTGAAGAACCAAAGGATTGTTTCACACAGAATGAATGAATGAATTCTCAGTAGAATTAATGAATTAATTCTCAGCTGAATTAATGAATTCTCAGCTGAATTAATGAATTCTTAGCTGGATTAATGAATTGATTAATTCTCAGTAGAATTAATGAATTAATAAATTCTCAGTTGAATTAATGAATTCTGTTGAATTAATGAATTAATTCTCAGTTGAATTAATGAATTCTCAGTTGAATTATTGAATTCTCAGATGAATTAATGAATTCTCAGTAGAATTAACGAATTAATGAGTTCTCAGCTAAATTAATGAATTCTCAGCTGAATTAATGAATTAATTCTCAGTTGAATTAATGAATTAATTCTCAGTTGAATTAATGAATTAAGTCTCAGCTGAATTAACGAATTAATGAATTAATTCTCAGTAGAATTAACAAATTCTACAGAGTTGAAGCAGGTTTTAAGAAGGCCGATCCTTTATGTCTCTGAGCTCTGAACTTTGCACGGAGCCTGCCAGTCGAGGGGCACTCTTCCTTGAAATGCCAGCTACCAGGGACAAACAAAGGTGAGAGCCTATTGTGGGTTTGTTGCAAACACTTTTACTTTGCTTCCAATTTCTCATAAACGCAAGCATGCACACACGACTGCTGGACTCTGGAGAAATAGCAATATCTATTTTCTGGTTGTAACAAAAGCCGTTAAAATAAACTTCCAGCGAATGTTTTACATTATAATTTCCCATTCGTTGCATTATTTAAACACACCACTGATTTTGTAATACCTTCTGGCCGATGGTTAAAATAATAATAATAATAATAATATTATAATATAATAATAATAATAATAATAATAATAATAATAATAATAATAATAATAATAATAATAATAATAATAATAATAGTACCCCAATAGAAAGAAAAACCTTGAACATTTGCCAAAGAACAAAGGACGTTTGCACTAGCAGGTCCTAAAATAATTTTTTTTCCTGCGTCAAAGGCTCAGCTTGACAATATTATTCATCACTTTTATTTATCACCCTCCTTCATCACTTCTTCGGAAAAAAATAATTGAAAAAAAACACACGTTCACACACAAACCTGGTGACGTCCAGATGACAGCTGCACAGTGCAAAGTGACTTGAGCCTTTCCAGGGTGTGCAATTCACACTTTTCTTCGCTGCTCGCTTGGCGTGCCAACCCCTCGTCCCATCACCTCCGGATCCCAAAGAACCACCCGCCCCCAGCTGCCGTGCCTGGCTGATCTTCCCTTTTGCAGGAATGAAAAAGCTATTTTCCACACTCGGCTTGGCTTCGTGGAAGAAGGAAGCGACGTTGAGAAAAAGACGCTTGAGTTGTTTAAATATTAAACGTCTCGGGTTGCGTGGCCACCTCGCCCCTGGACCTTGGACTTCAGAGTGGGAGCAGACATGAAGCAGAAAAAGGGTAAGTGGTCTGGGACTGGGCAGCAGAGTAGATCCCCTAAGATGACAGGCTTGGATTTCTTACTTAGAGGGGGAAGAAGGACACAATGGGGTTACTAAGAGGTGCCTATGAATAACCATCGTCCAACTTTTCCAGAGGTTTTGGGGAATGCAAATTATTCACATTCGTTTTTTTCTTCAGCTGAGGTTATTCCTGCATTGGTCACCTTACTGAAAACAGCCCTGCTGTTTTGAAGGCATTCATAAGCATCTCTTTGTGCTTTGCAATGTGAGGTCGAGCAAGTTTTTAAAATTAAAATCCCTTCTTCTAAGGGAACCTGAGATCTGAAGCGGTTGAAATTCAGAAAGAAAGCCTGCCCGGATTTTCCTCCCCGTAGTAGGACCACTCCCCCCAAGAAGGTAGAAGTTTAATTTCTGGCCGTTGAACCCCAAGCCCAGCTAAAATGGACCCTAATTTCTCCCCTCTCTCTGTCCTCCCCTCCTCCCTGTTCTCAATCGTGTAACAACCATGGCATCAATTAAATCCAGGAATAAATTGCCTGCTCTCAGTCCAACCCTTCTCCACCTAGTTTTGTTTTGCTTAATAGGGTGGAGGAAAAAAAGATGACTATCTGGCCCAGCTTTACTGCTCTTGCCACATTGGTAATCTTTCAACCATGAGCCACAACAAGCGTGCTTCAAAAATCCCATCTGGTTTTTGCAGCTTGAATCTACCCAGTTAAGAGAGACCGAGGAGGAGAATCCTGTTCAGGTATTCAAACCTCTTTGCTTCCCCCTCCCTGCTCAGGTGACTTGCCTGGACCTGAAAGAAAAGAGATTCTAGAAAGAGATTGAAACTCAACAGGGGTTTCCCGGTCCTGAAAATATGTTCTTTAGGGTGAATTGGGTCTGTTGTTGTTGTTGTCTGAAACTCAAGAATAATGGCAATGGGGTGATCCTTGCGAAGGAAGATCGCGATCTTTGGACTTAGTTCTGATCCCTGGCACTTTGTTTTGTGACTTTGCTGAACACCGTTGGAAACAGCGTATAAGTCTGCTTTCTATAGCCTTGGAGGCTGTTGGTTTCCCCAGGCTCCAGAACTGGCTTGTCCTCCATCCCTGGTGGATTTTAAGGTGATATTGCATAGCCACTTGTCGTAAATAGAAATAGAATAACAGAGTTGGAAGGGACCTTGGAGGTCTTCTAGTCCAGCCCCCTGCTTAAGCAGGAAACCTTACACCACTTCAGACAAATGGTTGTCCGCTATCTTCTTTAAAATTTCCAGTGTTGTATTGCAGTGTTGCATTCATAACTTCTGGAGTTGTTCCACTGGTTGATTGTTCTCCCTGTCAGAAAATTCCTCCTTATTTCCAGGTTGAATCTCTCCTTGTTCAGTTTCCATCCATTATTCCTTGTCTGGCCTTCGGGTGCTTTGGAGAATAGCTTGACCCCCCTCCTCCTCTCTGGGGCAGCCCGTCAAATATTGGAAGGCTGCTCTCCTGTCTCCCCTGGACCTTCTCTTCCCTAGACTAGCCAGGCCCAGTTCCTGCAACTGTTCATCGTATGTTTTAGCCTCCAATCCACTAATCATCCTGGTTGCTCTTCTCTGCACTCTTTCTAGAGTCTCAACCTCTTTTTTTATGATATAGGGTATCCTGCTTGAACAGGGGGTTGGACTAGAAGATCTTTAAGGTCCCTTCCAACTCTATGATTCTGCTTTCACGGCTTGTCCTGCTTCCTGTCTCTATAATCTTTTGGGTTTCCCTGAATGGTAGAAATTAAGGAAGCTTTCAGCTGCCCAGCTCCAGGTCTTTCCTCGCATGCTTATTGGTAGCGAGCGATAAATAAATAAATCTTTCTGCAAGAGTATAAGAAAAAAAAAAATCCCTTTGAGAGACAACCGTTTGGCATGCATTGTGCCCAAAGTCAGCCTAGATCTAACCATCTTATCCCTCCTTCAGTCAACCGCAAGCAAGCAGAATAACAGATGGGAGAGGGTTTTTTTTTCATGGTTGATCACTACTTTATAAGAATCTTGCCAGACTGGCTGCCTTCCCTTGGCAAACAGCAACCACTTGACCTCAAACATTTCCTCTCCCAAACGGACTCTAAATTGGAATATCGTGTCTATTGGGTGTGAATTCCTCACACCTTCCTACCTTTCACCTCTTCACCCTTTGCATCGTCTTTCCAAAATTGTTCAAGGAGGAAAAGATTGAAACGAAAAAGGAAAACATTGAGTTCCAGCTCCTTTTGGTGCAGTAGAATAAGGCATGAACATAAAACGTCAATGTGTAGATACCTATATATATATATAAAAGCGCAATACTACGCACACATCATCACAAAATCTCCACAACCGTAAAGCCCACAAACTTGAAATTTGGCACATTATGCTCCTCTTGGCTTCTAGGGAGTCACTAAGCAATGATTTTTCAAAATGACCATCAGAGCATTTAGTATTTCCTATATTATTATTATTATTATTAACATGCTCTGATGCTAAGGAGTTCTACTCCCCCTCCCCACCTGAAGAGAAATCTCTTCCAAATGCAAAACACAAGCAGAGGAGAGGAGTGTCAGTTTTGGTTTTAGTTTCACAGCACCTAGCAGCTTTAGTACAGAACACTTGAGCTAAGCCACGCCCAGGCTCCTTGCTGTCTCCTTCTTGCTCACACAGCAAATACTGCTTCAGTTTCCAAACAGCCCTCCACTGTCTCACACCCTGACAGGACACTAGCTAGATGAATACTGTTGGATGCTGGTAGGCAGAGGCAGATTTTTTTTTTTTTTTGCATTATTTTCCTCCCCAAAAACTAAGCCCGACCACATAGTTTCATAGGGAAGCATGGGTATTCATCTAGTGACAATACATACTAGCCATTTCCATAACAACAAACCTATCTAATCAGCAAAACCCAAAGCCAAAATTGTATTCGGCGAGGATCTTGTGAGTATGCAGTGCACAACCCCATGCTTCTCACTCTCTCCACACTACGGGCTTATCCAGGCCTGCAAGCCATTTGGAGGCTTCGGTAGCTTGTGAGGTCATACCGAAGACGCACAGAAGTCAATTCCTCTCCTTATTAAGGGTGGAAAGAACAAGACTATGAATCAAGCTTTCCTCTGGTTCCACCCATGAATCATAGCTGGGCTTATCCCGCATGCATGTGAAGACACAGTCAGCGTCAACATTGCAGCCTGGCTGTCCCAAAGGGGCTTCCCCCGCCCCAAGAGGCAACTGGACTTTCTGGTTTTTCTTCGAAGGCGCTTCACTTCTCATCCAAGAAGCTTCTTCAGCTCCGACTGGA